AACGCCATTCGTTGGATGCAGAATGAGATCATGGGGCAGTATTCGATTTCCACATCCATTCGGTAGGTTGCCAAGTGTGAGAGAAATACGACAAATTGCTATAGCGGCTGACGTATGAGGAAGATTTAGGCGCCTAGACTGTTTCTTCCATGCATATAATCCATTACCCCATCATCAGTATATTTAAAGATTTCTTTTTCTACGGTACTTCTCACACCTATATTCTCCTCGTTCTTACACGTCTTACATTTGTACGTAGAGTACAAAATTCTTTCGTCTGTATAATATTGTGAAATATTACAGACAGAAATGAAAGGTCAACAAGGACAAACGCAGAATTATCCTAGTTATGCAAACAAAAATGCAGTTGAAAGAGATTTGAACAAAGTATACAGTAATGAACATAATCAAATGAACAGAGAAGGACAGAATAAACGTACAAATGAATTCAGTGATGAAGAAGTCATGCAAATAGACGGCGAAAGATATGATGCATCAAATCATACCACTCCAAAGCGTTATCGAAATGATTCGAGAGGATTTGGACAGTCACGAGGCGGACAGCAATGTATGCAACAACGACCACTACAGCAGCAACAACAGAATAATCGAGCTCAACAAAAACAGAGTCAGCAGTATCAGTCAAAACCATCAAATGAACGAAACCTTAATCCTCAAAGTGACGCACGTTTTGTACAGCCGTCACTGGCGCGTACGGACAACGTTGCCGACCAAAGAGAAAGACAGGACCATGGAAACAATGCTCAATTTGAAATTTCAACACAAGTTATAAAATTTGCTGTAGAACAACAATATGTTCCTATCAAGCCCGTTTGTCAACCTAAAGTTTAATTGAAAGAAACAGCAATAAAAATGTCAAGTGATCTTATTGAACACATCAAAAATGATTTTCGTAAAGAAAATCCAAATTTTTTGGGAGCTCTCTTATTTGATTCATGCTGGATTGACTCAACAGGCGATGTGCAGCTTCTAACAAAGACCACTGCTCTCTATGTTTTTCTTTGTCGAAAAGATCGTTATCCAAAGAAACTATGTAACATCTAAGTAACGCCTCTACCACCTCGTCACCTGCCACCTCATCATACTGATGAACGAATTGAAGCAGAGAAATTAAGAGATTTGGAAAAACTAAGAATTGAGGAAAAATATCGTCTTCATAGGAAGAAACTTAATCAAGTATGGTTTCAAACAGATGCATGTCAGGAAGTTCAATAAAAAATGTTGAAGAAATGTTTAACATCTCAGAAAGAAGTTGCGGCAGCCAATATTGAAGTTATTACAGCAGTGCGCGACGTCATTGATGAATTAAGAACAAAATTAAATATTTCTACGTTTGATAAATTTGTTGAGTGCTTGGACTCTCAATTGAAATACGCTGAGTCAACAAAACAAAGACTGACACAACAATAAAATGAACTGCACACGGAAGTAGCTAAATTCAATGTAGAAAAAAGAAAAGCGTTACAAGAAATCCTGAATCTCAATGATGACTAGTGAAAGTTATTATTTAAATGAAGAATTGCTGAACAATTTTGAAGGAACTCGTAAGGCGAAAAACGAACTTTTTAATATTTTTTCAGAATGGAATTCTGTAAGTTGTCTGAGTGAGTTGTGTGTGAGTTGGAAAAAATCTAGGCCTTCAGTTTCGTCAGAGAATTTGTCTGTTTTGCTATGGAACTGTCAATGTTTAAGAACTGTCAATTCGTTTTTGTAATTTTCCAGGTATCTGGGAGAAATGCTGGAGAACCTCAGTGAGTTGAAAAGAAAAAATGAGAAAAAAACCATGCTGCAAGGTAGCAACTTTAAATAACTTTGTATATAACTCTTTTTTTCTTACACGAAAGGAAAAGGTAAACACAATATTTCTTTGAATAAGGTTTTAAGTGAATCATTAGAAATCTGTTGAGTGGCAAATGTATTTCTCTTTTCGCACGGGTAGATAAACCAGAATGTTTGCTAAAAATTGTCGATTGCTTTCTCATCTACCATGGCTAACGAGGAAACATATCCAACTGTTACTTCACTTTTTCAGCCAACTATAAATAACTTTTTATATAACTCTTTTTTTCTTACATGGAAGGAAAAGGTAAACACAACATTTACTTTTTAGGAAATGGGATACTTTTTAACTGGTGCATGCCTAGTCTTCATCCCACATCATGGATATGTTCTTCTACAATTATGCTTGTGATAATGGTAAATTACTATTATTTTCTATGACTCCTCTCCTCCGCTTTCATTCTGTTTATGATTTTCCTTCTGCTTCTCCTCTAAAATATTTGATTTTCATCCATATATTATACAGCATTATTATGTTGTAGTTTCAACTGTTAAACACAACTATTTTCTCTAAAAAGCTTTATACAACATATAATTCAAAGTTTTAAGATGAATGATAGAACGGGAAAATATTAGAATACGAAAGAATCGACCTTCTGAAAAACTTTCGTAGAGCTTTCAGTAAAAATAATCATAAGTTAATCATTCTTTGATCTTGAGGTCTAAAGACTATGTCAGTCTATATATATGGAGTATAGATGCATTATATTGATAGAAGCTTTATTTTGTTAGAATACAAACGGAATATATTCCATTATAGTATTCTAAACTAAAACTATCGAAAAACAGATACATTACATTGTTATTGAAGTAAAAAAAAAATATTACGTGGAAAGGCGTAATAAATTAAGCTGATTGTTTTCGTAGTCATTCGTTGACAAACGAGTCTAGAATCAGAAGAATGGTATAAATAATAATCATAGATAGTGATCGTAGTGGATATTGAAAATCATGCAGGTTAACCTTGAAAACAATGTTAAGCATCTAACATGACGTACTACGTACTTTCCTTCGTTTTTAAATGAATTTATCCACTTCTCTATTTATTTCATTATTGACAAAGGTATTTAAGCCCGTATTTATTGTTTGACCAAACATTCCTTCACTACCACCTGGAGAAGTTCATTTTCGAATTTTTGGGCGAAACCATCGACAAACCTATCGGCTTGACCATCGATAAATGCATCGGCTCCGAATTCGGTAGCTGAACAACACCGTGAACTGATATGTTAAAAGCAATAACATTATTATAAAGATTTCTGCCCTTTCCGTTAGTGAGTCTTTATCTCATCGCTAATTGTTCATAAATTGCCTTAGTTTAAACATTTATCCTCTTTTTTTATCTGTTTCAACACGTCCAGGGTTTAATAGATGGTTTTCATTTTCCATAGAACAACCCATGAAAAGAAATAGAATTAAAAACAAAACTGTTAACTAACATGATTCTCATAATAAATGTAAACGAACATAATTATTTTAATGTAGCACAGACTTTTTCTATGACGTTCTTTATATTACCGTAACAGAAAGAAGAGAATAATAAAACAATATTAGTGCGATTATAATTCTTCATTTACATGCTAGCACTTTTACATACAAATATTCGTTTCGAGAAGCATTTTAGCTTTCATATTTTCTGCTGAAATGTCTTTGTTATCACTGAACACAATCTATCAGATCCTGAATCGCACCACCAAGTGCTCTCGTAATATTCATTTATAATTTAACTCGAATAACAATTAATTCAGTTTCAGTTTACACTTTAATGTATTTGCATTTAGTGCACAAGTATTACATATTTCAAGGCGCGCCTACGACAGATTATTCAAATGTCATGACCAGGCGTTAACCGTAAACACGTGAGAATCAGTTATCAATTTAATGTTCACTCAACCAACTACAACTATTTAATCATTTTTAATCGTGAAGACTCTCAAAATTGATAATAACACTAACATCACCTTATACATAGTGAAGTTACTGTTTCACTTGATACTACGTAGTTTCGTCTTTGTTCAAAAGACATCAGCAGCCAAATAATGACAAAAAACTTTTCCTCTCCTTTTAAGCACAGAAGAAAAAAGAAGCGCATGTTTAGAACACAAAAGAAAAATGCAACATAGTCCATTATTAAGTCGTACATGACATGATGCGTCATCAAAAAACTTTCAAAATAAGTATTCCTAATTTTCTTTTTACTGTGCATATCCATAAATAAACTCTCTGTTATCTCTCTTTTTACTGCATGAGATTCAGAAGCAAGAATTTGAGTTTTTTAGTTTGTTCTATGACCAGTAGTTAGGTCATACTTAGTAATCCTTGAGAATCCAATACCTCGAAAAGCATCTTTATATTCTTGTTTTCATTTTTAGCTCCCGCTGTTTGTCCAATATAACTGTTTGTACATCTACAACAGTCATATTTGTACACTATTCTTTTTCCATTTACCGTATTACATTATGTTTTTCCAAATACAGATGACAAGGTATGCCCTGTCTTGAACCCAAAAGTTACCACTTTCATTGGATGTAACATCAGTTTTCTCAACTGGTTAGCTAAAACTACCGAACACACTTCATAATAAGGTATAGAGAAGTAAAATTGTGTTTTATTTGGAGCAGGAAGGGCTTTTTTAAAGTTCTTATTCAGCTTGATGCTCCGAATCGTCTTTCTTACGATGTTTAATGTATGATCAAATAAAATTGGCTAACACTGATCTCGTTGTCAATCAACGAATGATTGTATGTGACAGTCAACGGGAGCACGCACACGATATTTTTGACTTTCGTCGGGGTTTTTAAGTGGTTGGCCAGCTCACTCTCGGTTGATCTTTAATGAAGAATGTTTGCGCTGTTTCTGTCTAGTATGCAGAGACGAACGGGATTTTCGGATGCAAATGAGTCTTTTTCTCTTGCCGCTTTTAGCTGAAGTAGAAGCACATATTAACGTGTCGATCACCTTTCAGCAGGGACGGGATACAGTAACTCAAGCTAATGTTTTCATAAACTGTGCAGACCAGCCTTAGCTCTACTTTTATTATCCGATGAATTTTTTTTATAAAATTGAAAAAATCGATTTGGACAAGTGATCACTTGTTGCCTCGAAATCTCAACATAGATAAAGATTTAAACTGAGATATTTTAATCATACATATTATTCGCTCTAATCTCTCATGCAAAAGTCAGAACGTCTATCGGCCAGTTTCAAATACTCACTCTTCATTTCATCTATGTTGGAATTACCACAAGATGGTCTACAACAGATACAGGTTATTAGAATCTAAAGAAATCCAGTCCTAACTTACGCCTTAAGCAAGTGAAAATCACGATCTTTCTTGATTCACATTTTGATTTTCCAAAGATCTTCCTGAAACTGTACTGTGGAAAAAGATTTCAAAAATATTCTACTGCAAACATATGTGTTCGGACGTTGTCTATGACTGTCCAGGTTCGTATCTATCTTCGATCAAACTTCATTTGAAAACGTTCATCGTCATTTTAGTTTGAATTAAATAGTAGTAGATTTAACACAGTAAGTTTACAGGTCTTGAAACACTCCCTAGTGAATGTACTTGAGATCAAATACTTAACTACTAGCAAATTTTCTAAAGTACTTGGTTAAGCACTTGCCAATCATTTTTAGATTTAATACGTGCCAAATACTTGGAAGAACTTCGGATACTTGCATATATTTCGCAAGTACTTACCAGGTTACCTGCTAAATACTTGGTGAAGTACTCGTTTCGTACTTATACTTGTTAAATTACTTGATAAGTACCTTTTTTACTTACAAAACACTCCAGGTACTCTAGACATTACTTACCCAAGCACTTTTCTAAGGACTTAGTCCCAAATACATCAACCAGGACAAGCATCAAACTTAACTCACATGTTCGTGTTTTTTCTGACTTCACATCAACGAAAATATCCAGATACGCTTGACGTTAGAGCTTAACATTAGTCCATTCTGCATCATGAAACTGGAATTACTTA